GTCGTTTCCTGAATCCCGTCGCCTTGCCCGATGGCAGTCGTCAAATTGGCGAACTTTGTCGTATATAAAAAAAAAAAACGCGCACCGGATATCTTACCTATGTGCAAAATAATCCGACAAGAAAAAAGAATCATTAAAAAAGATTAAAAAAGAAACATTATTAGTCAATGAGGGAAATATGTGAAGCTGTCATATTTATTTTACTATGATTTTAGAACTTTGACATTTAATTCGAAAGATCAAAATGTGAAAAGAATTCTGACGTCCATTCAATTTTTAATTAATAAAAAAAAATCTAATTTATTGAAACCGAAGTCATTCGGTTACGTCAACATGTGACAGAGAGGAACGAGCAATCGTACAAATCGCTCGCTCGTGATTATCGGCATCATGTTCGTTCTCGTGCGGGCACGATATTTTTCCGCACGCTTCTACCGCAAGAGTCGTTGAACCGGATGGCTTGACGCCGAGGAAAGTATGTTTTGAGATTGAAGCGCGCGTATTATTTTCATTCATAATTAAGACCCTGTTAGTAACGCTCCGTACGCGCGGAGCGGGCCGCGATGCATATTTATGTCATACACGATCGACATGCATCTGGACGCGCTCACGCCGTTCGCCATGCGCGCATAAAGAAACTGTTGAATGGTGAGTCTTTGCCAGGAGCAAAAAAATAAAAACAAACTGAAATTGAAATTTTTCGCGTTTTCCCATTTCAATTATCGAAATTATAAACAAGAATGAATTGACATTCAATAATTTATAAATTTTTCTAATTTTCTTTATATAAATCGAGAACATGGGATATCGCAAAATTATGCAAAATAAAACTTTTGAAACTCCTTTTGTTGCTATTATTATTTCTTGTTTTGTTACATAGATATTTGTAAATAATTATTGTAGAAGTACGGTGCGTTAGAAATAACGTGAAAGGAAAAATGGATGTCCAGAACGGAAGGAAGACGAATGGAAGCAGTCAGTTGTACGCTGCTGTTTATTGTACGCACAAAAGTACTAAACGGCGTGGGCAATTAAGTCGATTTCTCGTTTCCTCTTCCTTGTGCGTCGATTCGCGTGACTTTCCGCTCTAGGCGAACCAACCCGCCTTAGACAATAAGGATTTTCTCAGGCGTGAAAACGGTTGAGTTTCTGATCCGTTCCATTCCGGCGTGGCGATGGGACAAAATCGAGCGAATCTTGACGTAAATCGACATCTATATAACATCATCCGATGAGGTAAAACCTTAGGAACTCTGTGGATTAAAAAATAATGCTATAATCCAGTAAAATCGAAATTGCATGGACAATAATGTGATGAATTTCTGAGAGGTCCACATACATATTTGTTAACGTTGAAAATCTATGATATTCTGATATTAGTGACATGGAAGATGGATCAACAGCGAAAATTAATGACATCAAGAATCTTTTGCCTTTGGCATCGAAGAACTGCTTTGAATCTAAAAATCTAAAGGCAGCAAGATTCAAGATGCGAGGTACTAAATCTGTGATCTACAGAGATTATCGCTGATTTCGCGAGTTTGTGATCATCAGGGATAATGTCAAGATGTTGAAGATCATAGAAACGCAGGAATTTATCGTGCCAAGGATAAATGATATCTATGATAATATTGTATGATAGTAAGAATCTATGATAATATTCACGGAATTCAAGGTTGCAGATATCAATCTCTGACATCAAGAATCTACGCCGACAAAATGATTATGAGCATGTATAACAAAGAAACTTGGAAATCGTCCAATAGATGAGACTCAAATCTATTGACAATAAAATGATTTCTCATGAGAAAGATTTATCTTATCAAAAATTACATGATAACTTAAATTTTTTTTATCAAAAAAATTTTCTTCACATATCACGGAAGTTTCACACTTTTGATCCGAAATAATCAAATCACTTTGCGTGTTCATTACGTCTATCTCGAACCGTATATATATATATGTATTCTCAATAGATCCATAACAATACATTCCTTCCTCAAGATCGAATCGATCACGTAACGCCTCGGGCATTCGGATCGCCTCGACATCGACGGACGTCCAGTGATGGTGGTGTCTTGTATAGCGCCAATCGACTATCTAACGCCTAAGCAGCTAGGTGACGTAATTTTTTCATTACGAGAACGGTAATGCCGACGGCCAGGCTCGCATATTAAGGGGAAAACAGCGTGGCCATTGGTGGGCCCCGCGCACTGCCGCCGCAACGAGGGGCGGTCCATCGTTCTTCGGCTCCGCGACTCTTATCCGTTCTCCAGCGACCTTATTGGTCACCACCTCCTCGATCGCTCCTTGCCGACCCTCGTCGCCGATTGCCGTGACGATTTTCCACGGCGCCCGCGATCGATCCGGCTGCATCGTGCTCTCGCACTACCGAGATCTTCCGCTTCTTCTCCCAGCGTTTCTCTTCCGTTTCTGCGCTCGTTGAAAATACCCGGAGATACTTCTTTGAATTTGAACGCGTGAAACTCGGCACATATACAAAACAAACGAAAATGATTCTTCCGTGTTTTCTGTTTGCATTGATATACATTCGAGTTTACGGTTGTGCAAAATTGAGAAAAATAACACGATTAAAATAAGTACTTTGGAAATTTTTGTCTCTTACAGCTCAAAAATCATGACTTATATTATCTTAAAAATTTTATTAATAGATATGTTTTAGCATCTAACACCATTTTTTGCCTTTTTGTACCAAATAGAGTACCTTCTCTTGGGAGGTACTCGGATGTACGTTTAGCGCCGTACAAAAAGAATAGTTGTAACACGTGGATCTTAAGGAACGGCGAACGTAAATGCAAGAGTACGATCGTGAACGAAAGAGGGTGAGCTAGGGGGAGACGAGAGGGTCAAGTCGTGACTTCGGCGCTATACGGAAAAATGCAAAAAGGTGCCACCGTAAACTGGACACGTCATACGAATTCCTCTTCTTTTTCTTCTTCGAGTATCTCGTTTCTTTTTCTTCTGGCCCTTTAAACTCTCAGAAGAAAGGTGCAAAACTGACGACAGAGCTCAGAAACATGTACATCTTTATGATAACAAGTGTTTATTAATTTTTTTTAATAATTTCAATTCTTTACAGATTAACTCATATATCTTTTTTTTAACACGATTAATAATTAATATAATAATTTAAGCAGAACTTGTGTTTTTGCTTGAAATAATTAACTGGATTATTTCATCCAACAATCATAAATCATAATTTTTCTTATTTTTTATTAGAAAATATTTTTGTTTTTAAATAAATAATTCTCGGTTTAATGTCAACTATATTTATTAAATATTCCATAGATATACTTGCTATTATTATACAATTACCTTAAACGTCCAGATAACACTGTCTCGCTGTTATTAGTACGAAATAACGGGCTCAAGAAAAAATGAATAACAGCCACCGCGTTTCGCTATGACGAATAAGTTCGATATACGTTCGCGGGCTATCGTCTCGCTAAATTATTAACCCATTATCCCTAAACGGAAATGCATCGTGTACCGCGTGCACGTATCGCAATACCGGGTACATGTGTCCGCTCTCTCGAGCGACGGTTCGTTATTCCCGCGCAACACGGCTACATTAAAAGACACGACAGTTTACGACGGTATCCCGATAGCGGAGATAACGATCGCCGCGTACACCTAAGTATCGGCGCTTTTGTGTTCCCACGGTTTTCGCGACGTATACAAATTATCGGGCGTTCCGGGGCGCGTATACAGGGAAATAGAGCGGGGGTTGCCCCGATCTCCCTCCCTCTCCCGATCGCGTTGCGGGGTCTACTTGTAATGCGCGTGGAGAGTACAAAACGAAAGAAAGAGAAAGGGGGAGAGAGAGAGAGCAACCGTAACTGTGCACCGCGCCTGTCCGGTCCTTCAATCGGCGCCGCCGAAATTCCGAGCTGGACTGCTGCCCAAATCGCCTCCGTGTCAAGGGTCAAACTACCGTAATGGTAGAGCGGCGTCAAAGTCGGCGTACCTTCTCTCTCGCATTTGCGTTCAGTTTCAGAAACGCATTCTTTGATGAATGCAGACCTACATTTGTTTAACGAAATTAAATTCTTAAATTTTTCGGAAAAAAGATTCAGTCGAAATTAATCGAAAGATTACAGTTTACACGTTGCTTGCTCTGCTGAAGCTTTATTCAACAGTATAATGTCGTTTTATGTATTATGCATGTCAAAATAATTCTATATACTTATATTTTCGTTCTTGTAAAATTACAGAAAAGATATTTGTAAAATTAGCTGGCAGATTAGTGACAAATTAGTGGCAAAGTTTTTCCGACCTGCAGAGTTGCTCTCTTCGTAATTGTCGAAAATATAATTGGAGGAATTTTCTGATCAATAATATTATATGTGATCACTAATATTATATATATTTGTCGATGTAACACGCAATCATAGAATATGTTGAACATGACATTTAATTATAAATTAATACTTGCATTACGTTCTACAAGAGAATATATGTCAAATATCCATATATTACAGACTTAATATTTGACAATATAATGATCAAGGCATAACATACCTTTTCGTAAAGGTTAAATAAGGAGTTGATGCAATCTTAATTGTGACTAAAGTAAACTGTTTCGACAATGTAATAAATCTCTTTTTTTCAGTCTCTTTAAATTGTATTTATGTTCTCGAGGTCATACAATAATTTTATATTATAACGGGCGCATAAATATTATAGGTATCGAAAAGCTGGACTTCTTGTTTGTCGTAAATAAATCCCATAAAGCCAATAGAGTCGCTAAGCCTGCTGCGCGAGATTTTCTATTTGCGAAACACCTATTAAGTCAACGTAATACTGCGCTGCGCATCATTATGCGCTTCATATATCTCCCTGTCACACATTTATCTCTCTCTCGCCTTCGGCTGCCTTTTTCCCCATAATTTTCACTTTATCGTTGCTCTACCTCGGATACTTTCCTGGATCCAGAAGGATAGAGTGGGGTCGGAATTTATAGCTTCATTTTCTTCATATTCGTTCATGACGTAAGTCAAGGATTTTGTACACAGCCGCGGATGCGGATTGAAATTAAAATAGCATCTGGTGCGTATAATCAATGTATCCTTCCCCTTTCCCTCTCCAATGCTTAAATAATGAAAATATTAAAAATTCGAGTGCAATGAAAAAACGACGAACGAGATATTAGTATCATAGCTACCATGCGGAAATTACAGCTTCACTCTTCAATCGTAGCGAACGTTCACGATCGATTTGCATACGACCATTTCTTTTTTCTTCTTCTAAAAACTTCAGCGTACCCCCGAGGCTTTGCCCGCCCGCCGCGAATACTTCTCGACGTCGTCGACTTCATCGCTTGCGAAGCACGCATACGCGTCCGTTAAGTCGACGTAATACCGCGGGGCGCATCATTATGTACTCCATAAGTCTCCGCGGCTCTCCCCCTCTTCCATTCTCTCTCTCTCTCTCTCTCTCTCTCTCTCTCTCTCTCTTTCAATCCTCTCGCTCTCTTGCGAAGAGGAAGAGGAGCAAGAAAAAAGGAACGCGGAGAACGTGGGGACGAAGGGAACCGAGAAGGTTCCCGCGCAGGAAGATGTAGGAGTGGGCGACGGAGGTGCAAAGGGGGGAGGGATCTCTCTCTCTCTCTTTTTCTTTCTCAACCCCCCTCGCGCTCACGATACCCGGATACACTCGCGTTGCCAGACCCTACACCATCCCTACCTCGGGTCCGTTGGGTCCTATGGACTTTGAACGGGGAAACGAAAGGAGGGGAGAAAGACGTAGAGAGGCCGTATACCGTCTCTTCAGCGCGACGTTCACCGGCGAGCGGAGCCGCGCGGAGGGATACGAGAACGAGAGAGGTACGGGCGGGAGATAGGGCGAAGAGCCGTGGGGCGGCGGGTAGAGGGGTGCCGGTAAGTAAAGGGGTCTCGCTTTTTCGCTCAGGGTCAGAATCGTACATCACCCGCGCGGACGCTGTGCAATACAGACTTGACGATCGGCCGGATTTCTGCGCGCGAGCGTGGAGTCCCGCGCTCTCGCAATGGGAGCATAATTTTCTATCCGTTCTATCGCGCTCGGTAGAGACGATACACACGCTCTCCTATACGCCGGTAATGAGACGATCTGTGACGGATTTATCGGTGCTATCCTCCCCTCCTCTCTCTCTCTCCCACTGTTCTCCGAAAGCGACTCGCAAACGCTCCCGGGCTTCTTCGGCGAATTCAGCGCGATCGACCGATATCGACGTGATAATCACGCCTCGTTTAGACCTTTTTAAGGATTAAATATATACCCCCGATGAATAATTATTTGATAAATATCAGATGTTTTCGTATATATCATTTATATATCGTATGTTCGTATACCTAATATCGTCAATTCGTAAACTGAAACTGAATGAAATTGCGAATTGCGAATTAAAGAGATATCTGGAATTTCTTTACTTGATGCGTCGTATAACACAGAATGAAATAGTCGACTATTACTCTTTTCTCTCTGAAAAATCTTGTTAACAATCGATTGTTGTTCTTCTCTCTGAAAGATCTTACTAATGAGCATAATGATTCAACGATAGCTTGAATGGAAAAAACCGGTCGAGGTGAATGAGCGTGAATATCAATGCACGAGATTCTCGTCGTCACCATATGCTGCTACGGGCGTTTTAAATTTGAGTGAGGGGGAGAAAGTCTAACGACGATCCTGCCGGCGACCAATTTTGGAACGTACAGTCACGTTTGGCAGTCCGGAAGCGATTACACTTTACGTATCGGTGACGCGACACACGCGGAATTTCTATTATTTGTTCCTTTCGGGTGCTGAACTCGGCTATCCCCACAGCTATTTGTCCTTAACGGATTGGTACCCAGAATACATTCTTTTACCGTTCATTTAACTTAATCTGATCAATAAGTATAAATTATTGGACGGTATAGGGCGTTTGTGAACAACAGTGAAATAGAATCGAAATAGGCGAGTTTATTAAGTGATTGTTAAAATAATGCCTTGTCTAATTCGGAACAGGGACTCGTTATTGCGCGGACTGATGATTAATCCATGATCTTCGATTTATTTTGCAGATCCGACGAAGATGATCCTAGTGGCTGTAAATATAGGAGACTAGATGACGACAACGTGCAGGACAAGGAGAGGTTTGCCAGGTAAATATTAGGCTTGATTCGATTGATATTACTAGTAATATAACCGATTTTATGTAATAATATAATTTTTATGTAATAATATAATTAATATTTCAATCGAACAACCGCGTGCGTTTCCGCCGTTCGATGTGTTTTTGATCCAGTTTTCGATTCGTGATTTTGTAATTTCTCCGTGCCATTTTCAAACCAACTCAGCCCGATTACGGTAGTCCGACATTTACGAAAGTTACCTTCGAAGCGCGGACACCTATCTCTCTCTCTCTTTCTCTTTCTCTCTCTCGATCGTTTGTCTTCGACGTTTGTTAATTCGTCTCACGAAAACCGCAGCTCAATATGTTTCACCGGTACACCCTGTACATGCGCCTTCCTCAAGTACGAGAAGGTATACATACATACCTACATGATACCGGGCAATGTGAGGAGCCGATAGCGGAATGGGAAGCCCTCGAGGCTGCTCCAGCGTGGGAACATAAGGTACTTATACGCGCGCTCCTCGGGCGCGCGTCCTTCAAGTCCGTGTACAACGAAAGAGACACGGTACTTTGATTCCCTTCCGAGATATTTCGGCTGGCACGGGCATTAAATTCGCCGGACAAAAGCCGGAAAATAATGTACAACGTGAGACGCATAACTTACGTATAAAATATGGCTGCTCCCCAGACGCCGTGAATAAAAATCTACGTGAATCAAAATCCTCGAGGAGGAATCTTCCAGGGTGTATATATACAATGACGTGTCGCAGAGAGGTTTGCGTGTCTCTTCTCAATTATAGAGTCTTCGATGTATGTACATATTTTATTAATTAAAATTTTACGACAGACTTAATGATTTAATTAAAGCCGGTAATTAAGAAGTGAATTTTTAATTTGATTAATAATATTTAACTTTCTAAATATCGTTTGATGTCAATGTGAACAAAAAATAGCACGTTTTTACTTACTGCAATTCATTAATTGCATACGAAAATAAATCCCACCGACGTGATCGGATAAAGACGATCAATCTCGATTGATTGACTTATCAATAGACAAAAGGCAAAAAAAGGGTTCGGAGGTTGAGCCTACCGCGTGTAACATTGATCGGTCGTGACTCAGCCCCCTGCTTTGTGTAACGTGACTGTGTACGGCGTTACGTCTCTATTAAGCACCGGGCCCACGGTGCTTCCCTACCTGATATAATCATGGCGTAAAGCCGATCATAGGTAATGTATTCGAAAAACCGAGTACAAACGCGATTCCGTGCGAATGTAGCTATGCCGAGTAGAATTTACGTGGATCATAAAAATTCTCGCGCACGGTCTTGTCCTGTTCTGTTATTCACGTCATTTAGTCTAAAATTGACGATAAAATAAAATAACGAAACAATTTTACACATCAGTTAATCTAAAATTAAATATAAAGTAACAGAATCAACGGTGGACAGTAAATCAAACGAGATAAAATTATATTAGATTTAGTTGTGCATATAGCGTGTCCAACTGTTCGAAAATCGATGAATCATATATCTCTTATTATTATATCATATTTTTCTTATATTATCTTTTTATTTTACTTCTCTTATTACCTAGTAATATAGGCTCGATTTTTAACGCGCGCTGTTATAGATACGATCACACTTACATCCACGTCAATTTCGCTCGTTTATATTCTTCAATGTATGCCACATTTTCGCCGTTATGCCTGAAGCCAAGATGTAACAAAGTTACATTCCTCTCTCTGTTCTTCTGCAACTAGAAGATGCAATCATCTTTCGTTTCACTGAACGAGATTAGAATGCCGCGTATCCCTTTATTTTTTTCTCTTATGATTTTTACTCGCTATACTTGCTGGGTACATACCTGCAAAATGATAGTACGGAATTGCTCGCGAGCGTTCCTCGCGTTGCTCTGGCTATTTGTTCATAGCGGAGGGTCAGCTAGGAATTTCTCACATCTCGTTAACTTCGCGCACGCGAGAAGAAATCGCATGATTTACTTGATTTGTTTCTATCATTACTATGTTTATCTTACATCGTTAGTTGTTTTCTGTAACGATTCTCTTCTCGATATCGTGTAATTGAAAAGATGCACGTGTTGTTCGAAATATTTCTCATATTTCTTCAAAACCATTATTAAATTTTATTTTATTGGAGAAAATTTCGTTACGTTCGTCTATACGAAACCACAATACTTAGCCCCGATAAATAAAATAATTTAATTCGGTGACCACCTAATTTCAATCTCGAAAGTTTTACCTTAATTCTGCCAATTGCCTCGCCGAAAAAAGAGCGCTCTGTTATTTTTTAACGCCGGCCAATCTGAAGACCGACTGTCGATCCGCCATAATAGCAATAACGATATCTTATCCATGGTCTCTCATCGCGTGCCGCCACGGGTGGGTCCGTGGCGGTTCACCTGCAATTCCGTATCCGCGCTGTCGTTTCGCAGGTATATACGGTGCCGCGAAAGAATACGCGGACGCCGCGGCAAAGACCGACCGGCAACATTCTGATGTCGCGCGTTCTTTCTCTCTCCTCTTCCTCTCCCCCTTTGTCCCTCCTCCCTTTCTCGCCCCCGGTCCTCTCTCTGGAGAACCTCACTTTTAAGTTAATAACGCAATTACTGCCTCCTGCCGCAAGACGCGCGAGTCTCTCCTTGCCGCCTGCCCGTAACTTCTCTCTTTCTCTTAGATCCCTCTCCTCGTTTTCCTCTCTTTCCCCAGAAGAGAGCCTCCCACTTTTCGTTTCCTCATCCTCGCATTTTCTCGGCGTTAATTCAGGTGCCGGCACTCTGGGTGCCGTGATAACCACGAAATAATTTTGTCGCATGCCGGTGGTTGCCCAGAATGGAGTCTCGCCCCATCTTGTACTACTTTGCTGTCTTTTTTATTCCCTTCCTACAACGGTGATCCGTTTTCTCATTAAAGGGAATTTTGGAAACGTGATTCTTCATCACTATAAGTCTCTTCAACGCATTAACTCAGCTTCCAATTTTTTTTCTCTAATTTATTATTAATTAAGAAAGGAAAGCTACATAAATCCGAATGGAAAAAATCTTTTAATTTTTCAAAAATAAATTTTAGTAGAAAAAAAAAATGATTTTGTAGGAAAAAATTGAAATATAAATTAGCTTCGAATAGATTGCTACTTAAGATTCGCTAAATTATCGAGCGATGCAGTATGTCATTTGGAAATATAAGGGACAAAAAATAAAAAGGAAACATGGGGAAGCTATTGGAGAAAGGTGACAACACGGTGCTGCAATAAATCCGGGTACAGTCATCGTTTATAACGCGTGTGTGTGTCGAGCGAACATTGCGCTTTTGCGATTATTCGTTCACGGCAGTAAATACGCTGCGCGGAAATTTATGGCCCGACACGCTGCCGTTTCACGCGCGCGATTATAACGTCTTCGTCCAGTTTGGAAATGATTTAAGCAACGTTCAATACCCAGTGGACACGGACGTTGTGTGCGTCGTTAACGTTTACCGATTCGTGCCTGGCACGTAAAGTAAGGAGTGAAGATCATCTATTATGCAACTTTTTATCGCGATTAATTAACACGTGTTAGTTAATACCTATACATATTTTTTAACATTATTTTTTTTACGTTTTATTTTATTTGTATTCTATCTAAAAAAAAACTTTCACTATGAAATAAAAAGAATAATGAGAGAGAAAGAGAGAGGCCGGGGTGTCTTCTAGAACGATAATTAGACGTGGCGAACGATCATAACGCCGAGCCTTCGCGAGTTGCAAAAGTTTACGGGAGGATGTTAGAATCTCGTAGAAATCAGAATCGCCGTAAGGAGGCTCTAAACGGAGGAGAGATTATCTTGCACTGCCAGTGAAAAGCACGTGCCTTAAACGGCGCATAAGGAAGGCCAAACGGTGCCTCACTATAGAGAGCGCATGATGCAGATCGTCGCGCAGATAGTTCTCATAGGCCAATTAATTAAAAGGCTTCTTCTATGGCGTAATAAACCGCGGAACGCGTTTGATCGTACGGGGAAATTACTTCTGAAACGTTAACGAGATCGATCGATTCGCAATGCCAACTGTCGCGAGTAAAGTTGATTTAACGTTCATTTTGGCGCGTAGAAGAGAAATGCATCGTCGATGCATGTCAGTTTTTTTTTTCACGGATGCAAAATTACAAGAAGCTCGCGCGGGATTCGATGAGACATCGAATTAGAATTCCGAATGTAAATTGAAAAGAAAACAAGCAAACAAGATGCAAATGCGAAGTAAGGAAATTACGTTTTACCATTAAAGTTTATTCTCAATCATCAGATAATACGGTTACAGTCAGATTATGCGTAGTATAACGCTGTGTGGGAGGGGTGGCCGCCTCTTTATCCGTTTCAGTAAGACAATGCGAATGCATGGAATATAACTTACATCCGTTCCTACATTTCTCTATCAATGCAAGGCCGTGGCGAACACATTATTTATTCGCCGATCCTTAATTTCATGCATATCGACGTAGCCGTGTGCGGGAAGAAAATCATAACGATAAATTGTATAACGATTGAGTAACGGCGGTACACACAACTCTGTTTCGCAAGTCCATAAATTTATACGTACAAGCCTTCGGGAATGTCGAATATGCGGCAGGGGAGTGTCATTAGACTGATCTTGCGAACAGAACGTTATAAATTTCATTTGGAATCACATTGTAAAGCGTCATACAATCATGTTACACCCGTTCGATCCGTTATCTTGCTAATGTCGAAGACGAAGCATGCCAGAAATCGACGATGTCAGAGAGAGAGAGAGAGAGAGAGAGAGAGAGAGAGAGAGAAATATTGAGAGCAAACTTATATCTATTCGTGGCATCGCCAACATCTCCAAACGCGAGGCAATTCGATGATAACTCTCGCTTGCTTCGCGATCGTCTTCTCCTCTCCTCCTCCGTACACTCTGGAGGATTTTTCTCCTTCGTGGGACTTCGTACGTTGTTGTGCAGCGCGTGTGTTTCTCAGCCAGCATTAGATCACCGCGGCATAGAGAACCGTGTACAGGGTGTACCGATGCTATTCCGATGATCGTGACCCGATCCTCTGTAGACAAACTGGAGCGACGTTACTGTAACGATCCATCGGTTGACGTTCAATCGATCTGTTGCGCGCGAGAGAATTTCAGAGTCTAGATTTTAAAGAGACGTGGATGGGAGGAAAAATCTGAATCTAAACTTTATACAGTCTTGGTTCTCATGGCTGATTAATAGCACGGATGGCTAACGCGAATCGCGATATTGGATTCCATTCTATGTTGCAGTTTTAAGTTCCGCGAGACGTGCACACGTCGCATTTTACACTTAAAATGGAGTCACGGCGAATAAAGGGATCTATTACCTCAACCTTCAACTAGTATCCTCTTTTTCAACGTAACGTGACCGGTGTCACGGGGTCAGCGTTGACCCCCGGCCTAGGGGTCAAACACTTTTACCGTGTCGTTCGCCGTAGCATCCAACGACCCCTGTGTATCAAATAGCGTGGTAAATGCAGTGTCTCGGTTCATTGTGAATTGTTGACGGTATATAATAATCCGTTGCCAATTCAAAACGTTGCTTTTTGCATAATTGTTTTTTATATAGCTAAAAAATTATATTTGTAGCCATTTAATGCAAAATAATTTATAATAGTATATCATTAACACGCGTATATTTTACTTTTATAACATTCTAGCGATTTACTAGATAGCTTCTTTTATAATTATGCCAGGTATAGATCGATGTTATTGCAAAATCACGTGTATAGTTTTTGTACAGCAGCATCTAGCTCTGCTTTAGCTGCATAAAACGCAAGCAAATGTCACTATTTAATAAAAAAAATTCAACTTTTACAAACTTAAATTTCTGTCACTAAGTATAATTATGTATTTATAGTTTTTTTTTTAAAGAAAGAGAGATGTTCTTTCTGAAAAAAATAAATGATCACTCTTTTTCTCGAAGGAAGTTGCTGCATTTGTCAGTTGAAAAAAAATCCGTACGGATCGATTATTCAAAAAATAAAAATAAAATGTAATAAAACGTCGCAAACGTATCGCGACTTCAGGATCGAAGGATCGGATCGGAGGAGTAGCTGGTGTGAGGTAGTACCGGGACACCCGGTATGCCCCGGTACACGGAGCTTGGACCCACGGAGCGAGCGGGCAACTTCGGAGCGTCTGACCTCTGACCCAGGAGTTCTCTCCCCGTCCTCCTCTTCACGGATCGCGTTCCTCCAACCCCCGCCGTCCCTCACCTCCCCTGCCATGCCGCGCGGTGCATACTCCGCTTTATACTTGCGCTTTAAGCGCCGTGGCCTCTTTTAAATAGCGGGCCTCTGCCGGAGCCGGGGCCATCCACGACGTCGTCGAGCGTTACGGATTCCCTTGGTCCTCGGGACGAGACAATAATAACGATAACGATCGCCCGCGCGCACAGCTCGGCGAAAAAATTGCAACGAATCGTATAATGAGAGGGAAAGGCGATCGGCATTGACTTGAATCATAACGATTTCGCTCCTTCTTCGGCTTTTCCTTCCTTAAAGTTTCAAGTTGTTACAATGAATCATTCTTTAACTCGAAACTCACCGCTCAAGGAGTAAACAATTCAGGATCTCTATTATTACTCTGATGACAGGAAAATTGAATCTGAAATTGTACTCGTAGCTCTTTGAAATTGTTTGAAAAGCACGTGAATTTTAAAATCATAATCTAATAACCTGTATAATGTATAATATGATACTTTCAAACTTAAACTAGATAGATCAAAATTTCTAAAACAGAGTAATAGCTTGAAGAAAAAGATATGACATTGTCATGACTCAAATCAATGCCGATCACCTTTCATATCCTTTTTACTGTACGATTCGAGACGATATTTTTACTGCATCGTTGCCGTTATCATTCGTGACGTACATATATTCAGTTTATTTTGCATTTCAATTTTCTTTATACATTCTATTACACAAACATATACATGATTTGTAATGTTTTATTCTCCCGTGTACGTTCACGCAACTTTTTATAAATATCTACGATTAAAATTACTGCTCTTACCGTTGCTTGAATTTAAATATTTAAATATAAACTTTATTAATATTTAAATATAAACTTTAATCTGTAGCTGTATATAAAAAAATTGCCTTATAATTAGAAATAGAGCGCTACAATATACATTCTTGTTGATTGTCGTTATATTGGCAGTTGTATACCAATTAAATCAGAAGTCAATATTTACATACCTTATACAGAAAACCGTTCCACTAATGTTTGTTCGCTCTTTCCTGATCAGTCTTCACGAATACGTCTCGGCGAAACAATGTTGTATTGTATCTAGCGATATTCCGTGATATACAAAGTGGATATACATCATGTCAAAACGTTCCTGGGAATGCCTATATTACACAGTAGAAAATTCTACTAAAAAATGCAATTTGTGTGCACGTCCCTTTTTTATGACAGAGCCAGTATTTCGTTTACGTCAGCATCTAATCGATTATCATCCAAACGAGGCGGAAGAAGCACAAGAGAAAACTAACAAGTCAGTTAACAAAATTTGACATTTTTATATATTTATCGGTGATTATTTATAAGTATTATGAATATTCGAATCAATCTTTTATATAACTAATTGTATAAAAATCCGATAATTTATTGAATTTACCATTTTTATCATTTAAATAGTCAATTTATGTGAAAATACCTAACTTAATGTAAGTAACGGAGTAACATTTATTGATACTCGAAAACTCGGATTCGATTTTAAATATATTTACATTCGGGTTTCAATGAACACATCAGATGTTCGAATATCCAAATCGAGCATTAAGAGTTCTAATTAAAATTTATTAGATAGGGAAATTAATTTTCAGTTATATGAATATAACGAAATACAGTGACATGTTTCGCACAGACTGCGTCCGCAGGGACGCGGCAATCCCATTGAACGGATCAATTTTATTTTTCAATATTTCATATCGCGGCCATCCATATCGCGGGGAGTAGACGCCGCGGGAAAAAAAGTTAGCGCAAACCAATCAGCATATCGATATCAAATTTTAATCTCGCACCCTGTGTATCCGGGTAGGATATCGACGTTACGGTCTGATCGCGAAACTACCCATTTCACGGACTGAACAAATTTTTTATCATCTCGTGAACCCGATCTCTCCTTCCTTATCCATTCCAGGGCAGAGATCTGTTCAGAAAATAGGCAGCGATCAAACTGCCCAGTTGAATAAAGAACTCGTCAGTTGATACAATAATTCCTACCAGGAAGTACTTTCTACAATTATTATACATATAAATATGACGATATGGATAACAATGAAAGACAGTTATAAATTATTTATTCTTAAAGGGTATTGAATTAAAAAAATTGTTTCGTTTTTTATCCGGCTAATAGTATAAATATTTATTTGTATTCTCTTAACATCGCTCGTAGAACAGGCGAGAGATGATCGATCGTATAGCGTAAGCTATGTAGACGCGGGAGGTTCGGTTCACGAAGTTGACTTCGCGAAATGATTGGTTTCGCGAACGGGACGTATAGCGCCGATAGCGAATTAACCCCGCCGCGCCGGCTCGATTTGCGCGCATCGGGGGAGAGATCGAGCGGGAATCCGGCTTACGTGTTGCGTGCGGATCCGGGCGCGCACGGGGTCTGCCTTCGCGAAGTTTCTTGGAAAATTGTCGCGAATTAAATGCCATTAAATTTACGATTTGCGCGCCGGCGATTACGCAGCTCGCCGTCCAAGTAAAGGGAGACGTGCCCGACCGTTACCCGCGGCGGTTACCCTCTGGTAGCGTAATAACAGGGGAGGCCTCAAATTGTGGTCTCGCCCCGATATCCTCCCCCGCCTAGGTAGGTGCCTAGGACTATATATACTCGAGAATTTATCGGACGAATCGATCATGGCGCCAACGACGTCCGTAACCGAGTTAATTTTAGGTAGCTTATGTGAAGTTTTAATTGGCAGCGCGATGGTAAATTGATGCAAAAACTTAAAGGGCGTTTGCTAATGAGTGCAGATACGATCGCGATTCGTTTTCTTCGAGATTTCAACGAACAACGTTAATATATTATACATGCGATAATAGCAACTATTAACAATTATTTATTTATTATCGTTTAATAACGATTTAAATGACTGAAACATAGCATATACTTATAAGATGAGGAATACATTTCACAGCTGAGTTAGAGCCAGCTGGCTGTACTTCACGTGAAGCGAGGCGCCCGCGATTATGTATTACAAGCGCAAGAAACGCGATTCAACACAAATTGAATACCGTATCGCGAACGTTATTTCACGCTATTTCCTGCGACTCGCAGAGTCCCTCTTGTGCAGGAGAAGACGCGCAAGAAACTCCTGTCTCTACGGCTGTTCCGCGTTTCAGCTTCGTTGTTCGCGCCGTTTTTTTAGCCGCAGTAGGAGAAACCGCACCGCTGGTTCCTTGAACTATGCAATTACCTCGGTTTTGTCTTGCGACTTACAGCAGGGAGAATCATTGCGAGATCGAGCGGCGGCGGCGGAACAAGATGACCGCCTACATCACGGAGCTCTCCGACATGGTGCCGACCTGCTCAGCCCTGGCCCGGAAGCCCGACAAGCTCACGATCCTAAGGATGGCGGTGGCGCACATGAAAGCTCTCAGAGGTGAGTGACTTTGATCCTGCGGAATCTTATTTACAACAAACGATCCCTTTGCTCTATTTAAAGGACCTCAAAAATTAAGGTTTTTTAAGATTGATCTGTTTTAATTAGTTAGCTTAATCTTTAATTAATTAAATCGACAGTCAATACTTTGACCGTAAAGATATTTAAGATTAGATATAGATTAAGATATTAAAGATAGAACTCGATGGATTATTGTTTGTAATTGTGAAAATTTTCTTTTCGGATGGATTTTATTTTTTAGAATTGAATTGCTATATGTCGGTTTAATATTGAAAATTAAAAAAGTTGGGAAGAACTGCTTTCAAATTATCGCGAAGAAATATGCTAAAAATGCAGGCGGCAAGATGTTGAAGAGCCACTCCATTATTCGAAGTAAGAAGTTCTCTGGCGAATTTCTCGTCGAGAGGCGAAAAAACATCGAGCGTCGATAACTCACGAATCACTCGTAAGAGTCATAAGCCACTTGAATTTAACTTAAGCCTCGAGTTCTGTAACTCGCACGCGCCGCAAAGCCGGCAAATACTGGCGGATAATTCCTCTTTTCCTTGTTCTCTTTCTTTTAGTAGATAATGCATTTCTTTTTAATCCAGCTTCCGTGCATTAGACTTGCTTTCGAAAGACAATAAGGATATATAACTTTATTCCCATATACATATATATTCTCAGTTCTATATTTTATTTGCTCATTCTTATTTACTCATTCGGTTTCTCCTTCTACATTTTATTCGCTGTAATTTCATTCCAACGTGTTTATTTATGAACGAGGGAGAACAAATTTCTCTCTTTCTGTCTCTCTCCTTCTCCCCTCTTTCTCTCTATCTTTCTCTTTTCTTCGTCCGTCCCCGGCCGTCATCGATAAGGAACGGTGCAGCTTTCGACGCGGGACGTGACGATTAAGTTGCAGCGATGTTTGAGTTATCCGGCACGAGCGGCGCAATAACTTGGGCGCAACGCGAGATCTCGGTGCCTTAACGTGAAGCCGATTAAATTACGACCGTAGTCGACCCGCCGTACGTTACGTTATGTACCTACGACTATCGATTACGCGCGGGGAAACACTTGCCCGAGTCGGTCCCTCCCGGGTCGACGCGCGAAAACGCGCGGCTGGATCTCCGTCTCGACAGAGGCGAGAATTTACGAGCGCTTTTAGGATACTTACAATGTCGACGGTGTACTAAGTATCTGCGACTTTCTCGTTAAGTCGAAGACGAAAAGGCCGATGATGTTTCGCCAGATTTGCGTCGAGACGTAATCCTTTTAGATGGATCCATCTGTCAAGCGCGCGTGTCTTCAACTCATTAAATTGCTAAAATTATATTGCTATAATATAAAGAATTTTCATGTTAGAGATTGCAATTATTATCTTCTAGAAATCTCGAAAAATAATTTTTATCGATTTATCTGAAGAATCGCGTTAAAAATTCACAGAGAGTATCTATTGATAAAATCCTTTTTTCGCGAAATTTTTGTTTAAAAAAAAATCAAAATCGTTTTCGACAAAAAGAGAGAAAACAGTTTTGCTAAAAGTTTTAGAAATAAATTTGTTTACGAAATTTCATATAAATTCCGTAAAAATGTCGACAAAAAGAGAGAAAACAGTTTTGCTAAAAGTTTTAGAAATAAATTTGTTTACGAAATTTCATATAAATTCCGTAAAAATGTCGTTCTCTCGAAAAAATGGGGAAATCAACGGTGACAGATAGTTAAAACTTAAAGATTCCACGGTAGATATACAAATCCACGGGGATACCAATATAACTGATTAACGAAGAAAAACCGAGAGATATGGTCAGGTGAAGGAGAGAGGACGAGGGATGCACCGGAACGATCGTAACGTTGCGGTGGGTTTCGAGAGCCGGTGGCGGTCATATCGAATGCAGCGAGCGCGATATATGCTTCCGGTGGGCACGATGGGCGGAGTTGTGTGTATGTCCCGTCCGTCGGCGGCTGTCCCTTTGGTAGTTCTGGCCGGGGGTATCTACCTATCTACCTGAGCCCGAGGGAGCCTGCCGGCCGATGGACGCGTGCTGCGTATTGTGCGTGAACGCGCGCGTGTATATGCGTGATTCCGCCGTGATTTCACCTAGGTATTGGTGGTGCGTCGCGTTGTTTATAGCCGCTTCTCCTCTTTCCCGACGACGAGGGCCACTGCATACAAATCGCTCTCTCGCTCGGAAGAGGAGGAACTCTCTGTCTCTCTCTTCTCTCTCACCTGTGAAGAGAAAGAGAGTAGAGGGGTAGAAGGGGGAAGAGCAGGAGGAGGACGAGGAGGAGGACGCTCGTTTACGCGCGCGAACGCCCCGTGCGTGCGCTATGTGGAAGAGTATTACGCGGTCGCGACGCGACGTAGTCAGTACCGGGCACCGGTGGATTTTTTACGACCCCGGGACACCGGGGATAAAAACTGCTGAAAGGCTGAAGAACCGTTCGACGAACGTCGATAGGAAAGACGACAGTCGTACTGTCACGAGAACGGCGTCGGTTTTTTTTTATGTTCACACCCAGCACGGTGAGATCTCGTGGATGCGAAAGGAAAGGAAGTCATCAATGTTAAATATGCTTTCCACTCTGAAATTCTAACTTGGATATTGTATAATCGTTTATAAATTTGTTGAGAAACATTCTTAGTATTGTTTATTAAATATTAGGAAATTGACAATATCGAATAATTGAATGTGATGAATATCTATAAATTGATAATATCGAAAGTAACCACAAGAATATTTACAGTTATTGTTTAACGTTAGAATGCCTAGAAATGGAAATTAAATAACTATCAGCGTGAGATTACATACGAAACATATATATGAGATACCTATATCGAGTAGCATTGATCTCAAGCGATTCTTTTATCTTCTTGAACTGATTTTACTAATCAATTTAACTAGATTTTTTTAATTGCGTAAATGTTCGCATTATTATAGGAAAAACTTTATGAATACAACCAGTAACAAGGGGGGAAAGAGCCAAATTCGGCCAAGACTAAATGTTGATTACCCAATAATATTTTTAATGTTTAAATCTTTTAAATTTCAGCTAACGTAGTCTCGGCGAATTTGACTCTTTCCCCCTTTATTACTCGTATCATTTACATATATATATATATATCGGCCTTATTTGAAATTAAAATTTTATGAATTTAAAATTCGGATTATGCATTCGTAAACATTTATTTATATTTTAAATAATTGAGATCTATATTGTACAGTTTTATGAATATTTTCGGAATGTATTATCGTGTATCAGATAGATTGTGATAATTTTCTCTATAAATACATAATAAATACATAATTGTGCGATTATCCTCATTTTTGATGCATAGTGATCGAATCAAGAGAAAAACGTGCAATCTTTTTGTCCGCGACAAAATGTATGCACGTTCATATAACGGTATTTAAATTTATTTTTTCTAAATTTCTTACGGACGGGCAATTAATCGTAAAAGATCTGTTTGGACATGCTTGAAAATTTTGATGTCATCGGTGATAGAAACTGTATACAGATTCTCTTTGCGGAAGGTGTCACGCGGAGGATAACCACGGTGGTAACCGTTGGACCGGTAGACGTACACCACGTGGAAAGTAATGGTAACGAAGGTCACCGGGGGTCTTCCATAGATCTTGTTTGGAAGTCGTTAAAGTACCTCTTCCCGGAATTTCTCCGTATATCGGGGTAAAGATCGCATCGCCGCGCGAGAGAGACGCTCTTTCTCTCTCGCACCTCTTCCCCACTCTCCTCTCTCTCTCTTTCTCTTGGGATCCGCCGTCCGCTTTGCAATTCTGATCTTGCACCTCGATAGTTACCTCCGCTGGCGAGGTGCCCCGTCCTCATTTTTGGTACCGCACCACAGCGCGCCGCGGTCTTCGCGTCTCTCTTCTCGGAGGTCAACTTCGGAAGAAGCTATCGAGAGGCGATTTCAATATTCGATAGGACACGATTTGCTTAGGAATTCGCGGAGTGCTCTCCGAGGTTTGAATCATATTTCAGAAGCAATCGTCTTCCTCGATGAGTATGCGTACTGCTGAATTCTTCTTCTCTCGAAAACTTCAACTGATAATTTTAGAAGCGCGTCCAGTTTCATTAACATGGGAGAGAAACGAATTTCCACATTAAACAAAAAATTGTAGCGAATACGATAAATTCGAGCATAGTATATTACAGCGTTTGTATAGCCCATGACACGTAGAAAAACGCGTAGTAAGCAAATCGGCAGTATAAAATCACAGTATAAAACGTAAGGCAATAATCTTATGTTTTCTACTGTGATTGGCCAATTCACTTGCGTCTTACTGCTTTACGTTTTTCTGTGTGCTTATAAATCCAATCCCCCATATATACATCATATATAAGACTTGTATAATAAATCCGGATAGGATACATTCGGATTATTCTCTTATAAATCCCGTTATCCCCTGTCCTCGCGAGCGTTGTCAGAGCGAAATGGAATGTGTCGCAGGCACCGGAAATACCGGAAATACGGACAGCGCCTTCAAGCCGTCCTTCCTCACGGATCAAGAGTTGAAGCACTTGATCCTCGAAGCGGCGGACGGTTTCTTATTCGTTGTGAGCTGCGACACGGGCAGGATCATCTACGTGTCCGACTCGGTTGCGCCGGTGTTGAACTACACCCAGAGCGACTGGTTCGGCACCAGCCTTTACACGCAGGTTCATCCCGACGATACCGAGAAGGTGCGAGAGCAACTCAGCGCGGCGGAACCGCAGCACGGTGGTCGAGTATTGGACCTAAAGACTGGTACAGTCAAGAAGGAAGGTCAATGTAAGTAAAGATAAAAAAAAACTCACTTGATTATTCGACATTTTCAGAGAATATCTACTTTATCATTTTATTTTAATATAGTATAGATTAGTATTCTGTTATCCATTTATCTTATCATTTATCTTACAGATGATTTTATTCGTTTTTCGGATTTCAAGACGACTGATCAAGCTATTTTCTATATTCGGAAAAAATATGTTTATGAATATATTCATCTATATATTTGAATATATTCAAATATATTCAAATATAGATGAAGTAATTGATTAATTGATATAGATGATGAAAACCTTCCGATTGTAGCTTCGATGCGACTGTGCATGGGCTCAAGAAGGGGTTTCATCTGTCGCATGAAAGTCGGGAGTCTGCAGACCTCAGGTGACATGGCAGCGGCACACGGGTTGCACCGTATGAAGCAAAGGAACTCCCTGGGACCCCCGGCGCGGGACGGCCAGAACTACGCGGTGGTGCATTGCACCGGATACATTAAGAATTGGCCACCCACTGGTAAGTTTGACACAGGTTTTCATCTGTGCCGAGTCGAGGGAGAATCGCGTATAAAATCATACGACGGTGTGCTACCGGGTAACGGTTCTCTCTCTCTCTCTCTCTCTCTCTGTCGGGCGCGACGTACAACGGACCCCGGCTTTCTATTTTAAAGCGGGGGAGACGTCGCGCCCGAGGAATACGAACGAACCGTTCCTGGAACACGGCGGAACGCATATGCCACGTGTGTACTGTAAATTAAGAACCGCCTCGAGTGTTGCCGTGACTGAATTTTTCGAACTCTTTCATTTAATATTCCGTATTTAATTAAACGTGTATTTACTTTTTCGATCAGTTGCGAAAAGTAGTAACGCGAAAATTAAAAAAAAACACGAAGGATTTGCATGTTCAAACAATAAATCTAATTGATGAATTGAAGAAGAGAAAGAATATCATCAGATGCTTTTTTTTCACTGGTGATATATGCCTATGGTCTAAAATAGTCTTGTTTCTTCAAAGTTCTCGTTTAATCGCTGAGTGGAAAGTCGTCACCATTAAAGAATCGCGGCGAGGTAGTTATCGGCTGTTAACATATTTGTTTAATATTCATGATCACGTGCGTAGCTCTTTTTGTTCCATCGATAGCTTTGTGGCAGCCGCTGATTAATTCAATCTTATCGATTTACGTTAAAAAAGAAAGCGACATCTCTCGCGTACATTAAATGCGATAGAGGTGCAATAAATCGAACGCTTTGCAACTTTCGAATTTCACGATTTATGATATTAATTTTTTTTATGTAGTATTTTAGCATTTCGATAAATAATTTAATTCAATTATAAGTTATTATTGACTTTGATTATGTCAATATATCAGTATAAGTTATCCATCAGTATGACGTTTTTAAGTTTTAACGTATGTAAGTTTTAGTTCATAAAACAAATTCTTTTCAAGCCGATCAACGGGAAATCATGGACTGATTCATGATTTTACGCTGTAGGTGATTTTGTTCCCCAATGTGTACCAAGTGTGGGTCTAGGTGACAGAGGTGGCGTCCACCAAACTGGTCCAGACGGCGTAGTCACGGATGAGAATGCCTCCACTCATTGCTGCCTTGTCGCCATTGGACGATTACAGGTCACTAGCACACCAAATAGTAGCGACTTAGCAGGTTCCAATAGCAATAGCGGTAAGTGTCGTCTTATTTATTAGCAATAATATTATAATAATAAATTTAATTGAAAGTTTTGCAAATTAAAATTCATGTAACAGTACAGAAGAAGTCATGGTTTCCGTTTGTGAATTATGTGTCTGTTCGTTATAGAATTTATATCACGTCACTCTGCAGAAGGTAAATTTACCTTCGTGGATCAACGGGTCGGCGGAATTTTGGGTTATACTCCATCGGAACTCTTAGGTCATCCCTGCTACGAATTTTTCCATCCGGAGGATCTGACACATATGCGGGAGAGCTTTGAACAAGGTAACGCTCCGTATTAAACTGCGTGTTATTCATTAATACTGTTTCATCAGCATTATTAACATGTGATTTGTTTTCTAGTGTTGAAGTTAAAAGGACAAGTCGTGTCTGTGATGTACAGATTTCGGGCTAAGAATCGCGATTGGGTGTGGTTGAGGACGTCGGCATTTGCGTTCTTAAATCCGTTCAACGAAGACGTCGAATATATCGTCTGCACAAACACGCATGCAAAGTAAGAACGGGATTACGTTTGATATCTTAAAGACATCTTTATATTATATCTCTCATTTTTTTTCTTTCGCATGGAAAAAAATATTCGCATGTCTTTTCATCCAGGTCGTTTCATCCTAGTAGCGACGGTCAAACGGAGAGCGAAGCTGTACCTGCATATGGACAACCTGGTCTGGATTATTCTCTTCCGAGCAGGCATCCTACCAGGGATCCGCTGTACTCGCATCACATGATGCAGCACCCAGCCACTGTAGCTACAGCCAGTAAGTACCGATTACCGCATTCTTTATTATTTCTCGCATATCTGAACAATCGAACGTTGAACGCACATGTCATTTGCAGGTCCGCAACAACCGAGGCCGTCCAGCACGCAGAACGTATACCAGAGCTACGAGACGACGCAGTCGCCGATAGCTTATGGGTCACCTGGACAGCAAAGCGCGTCCTCGGGGGTCTTGAATAGGATTCAGAAACCGGCTAATACATCTCCAACTCCACAAGCATGGGCAATTGGAAGACAGGTATTTAATATTCCTCCGTTTCTCGGTAGATTCGAAAAGTTACAAACATGTCTAAAACTACTACGTTTTCCAAGCAGCAACCCGTGACAGAAGGCTACCAGTACAGTCAATTAAGTCCATCGAGATCACCGAGCGGGCCGACGTACACTCAGCTCAGTAGCGGTGCTAGAACACCGGCTACGCAGCAATATCATGCAGTCACAACAGTGCCTAATAATCCTGGTTAGTCTTTCGGCATACCTTGCTTGTTTTATATATATATGAAAGTGCAAATATAAAATGTGCGTCTGTCGTCAGGTATGTGGGGTTGGCAGAGTCAACAGCATCAGACGCAGCAACCGGACGGACAGACCGGCGCTCAGGTGCCCGCGCAAGCGCAACCACCGCATCCTGGACAGGCCGGGCCCGGCACACAGCCGCAAGAGCTGTCTGAGATGCTGCAGATGCTGCAAGATCAAAGCGCCACGTGCGGCTCGTCCGGCTTCGACGAAACACTGAATATGTTCACCACTAGCTTCGAGTAGCAACGAGAAAGGCGATATGCCTCTGAGAAGCAGCTTCTATTTTAGAGGAATTCTCTCTCTTCGGGACTTTCCCTGGCTGTTCGGTATCACTTCGAGGATTTTGATCTTGGGCATCGTAATCCGCACCCTCACATCGACATCCGGAGGATCGTTCACGGAGAACAGAGAAACGCGCGATTTAACAATTTAGCACCGCATATATAGACTCTACGCAAAAACGATCGCACTGGGATTAGGACAGCCTAGTCTACCGGATTATTTACATATTATACATACGTATTATAACGAGAGGTTTTTGATTCATTGTCATTGGGTATCAGACGTTACCGGGTACGATCGTCGCGTCATGCGTTTCGATTGTTTGAGATAATTATCTAAATTGATAAGCATGGTCTCGCTGCGAAAATACCATTAAAACATCAAGGGCGTCATCTGTACCTTTATGACGATTATCGATTAGTGCTCGAAATAAATTATAATACGCACAGATGGGCTATCCACATTTTTGGGCATAAGCTATTGTACGTAAAAATAAAGTTTTATATTTATAAATTTTACATTTGAAATTAAATGCGTAACCGATGAAGATGTCAGTAACTAATAAATGCTTTCAATACTTTCAATGATTTAGATTGACTGTACTTTAATAAACTTGGAATTAAATTTAAAAAAATTAATTCCAAGTTAATCAAATCTACTCATAGCGGTGAGAGCTATTAAGTTGATTGATTAATGAACGGCCTGTAGATGAATATTTTGGCCTTGTTACAAGTATTCTAAACATATGTAAGCATCTGTGCTTATTATACAAATCAAATAATGTAATTTTAATTTTCATGACAATTTTAAATGAGGTATCATGCGATTCGATAAATATTTAACGAAGGAAAAGAAAAATAAAAATGAAAATAGCAGAAGTGTGTAACTCTAAACAATAAGAAAAAGTATTTTTAAAAAAAAAACTTCTCAATCAAAGATCTATACACAAATCACGGTAATTTTAATACCAGCTTATCGTTAGATTTGTAAGGTTAGCTTAATTACTTTAATTTAGATCTTTGTAATTATAAACAGTGCAATCATAAACCAACACGCGATAAGAAATCGTTCGAGACATTGACAATGTACAAAAATTGTGTAATCCACCTTTGCTTCTCTGTGCAAGACACCGTTTTTAGATATTCTTAAAGAAAAAAAAATATAGATAATGTTACACATACGAATAATTGCATTTATAAGTAACCACGTGTGACTTAGCGCGTTTGTACGTGTTTTAGCAAATTTTGACGAGCACACTGAAACGAAATTACAGCATATCATGATGAATTGGGAACATTTTTCACTAATATACGAACTATACATATACGCATGATTTTCTTTTATCATCCTACATCGTGACGAGAATAGTACCATCACTTTTTGACAATAACTAATATATTGGGCCTGGTGCAGGCGTCAATATTTATATGCGAATGTTAAGTATGAATTCGTCTCAAAGAGGTTCACAAATCCCTTATCCACTGTTATATATTCCTTTGCACAATATCCACTCACGTATTATAGCCCCACAGAAAATCACGAGTAATATGATTTAAAGAGCGAAGGGTGTTAGAAATGCATACGTATATCATGCAATAAAGCTATAAAAAATATTTTTAGTGTACATATGTATCATTACATTACACAAAGAGTGTAAAGAATTTACTTTGCTTGTAAGTTCTTTAACAATTCTCGCTAACTATTGTTCCTTTTCGATTATATTCAATAATAAACGAAAAGAGGCAATAAGATATAACAGCATGAAATCTTCAAAAGGCACGATGGAAAAATATAATACAATTTTTCATTTAAATCTTAAACAAATTTAAAATATAAATACAAAAATTTATAATTTCAGTTTTACAGCCGAAGTAGTGTTAGTTTTCTTCTTGGATAAATTGCCCTTTTTAACTTTACTGTCGACTTGATCTTGTAACTGCTTGAAAAACGCACTCGAGGATTTTGCCGCTTTGTGCGTTGTTTCGGTTAACTTCATAACGTTTCTATCTTTAGTTACTTTCTCAACTAACGCAGCCTTCTCTTTCTTATCTTTATACTTCTTAGCGATTCCTGGTTGCAAAGCCCTTAATTTCTCCTTCTTTTCTGTTGCCTGTTGTTTGGCTCGTTGCCTCGATTTCTTTCGTCTTCTCTCGCGCTTCATATCGGTTTTCGTTCGTTCTGCTTTACCGATAAGATCACCGCGTTGTTTGGCTGGAAATAAGAATTGTAGATAAAATTAAAAAATACTGTACTATATAAACCAATAATAGTCATATTAAATATAACATGATAAATACTTTTAATTTCTTCAGGCGCTAATAGAGTAGCATCAGTGGCCGTGACAGGTGCTACCTCTTCCATGTTAATTGCAGGTACATTGCTAATGATTTTAATTTCTGGTTTAGCCTAGAACAGAAATCATATATATTATGTATCTTACAAAAAATATACTTGGCGTGAACTTGCGACTCTTGATAAACGTTACACTATTAAGAATATCTCAAAATATAAACGTTTTGTAACGAGAGTAGAGAATTATTTATACAAATTGCTAGGATAGCTTTTACTTATAAAGAAACATTTACCTCAGAATAAGTACTTTCGATTGTTAATATTTATCATTAATTATATCACATTTTAATATAAATTTCGATTGATCTTCAATGTAAATCATGACAAATCTTACCATCTTGGGAGTGTAATGATAATTAGCTAACGCATCCAATTTTGATATCAGAGAACGCATCATTTGTCGAATTTCATGGTGAGACTGTGGCGTTTCCTCTTTCTTCTCATCGTTCTCTGGATCCAACGATTGCTTTTGCCTCAGGTACTCATTTTCGTAAATTTGCGACAAGCTCTCCTTGCTCTTTTCCTGATTCAGTATCAATTTTTTCTTGTATTCCAACGGTGTCTCGACTGGCTTGAACTTCTTCTCGACGTCGTCCCAAGCCTTATCCTTAATTCGCTGCTTGATTATGTCCTCCAACTTCATAGTGGTCTCCTCGGTGATCAATGGGGCTGGCCTTGTGTTCACATCGACAGACACGAACTCCTCTAGCAAGGAATTATGTGGTCGATTTGTACCACTCACTTCGCCCTTCAATTGCCATGGTTTCTCGCTGACCGCCTCCTCCTCCAATTCTTCAATCCTCATTAACAGCCTCTCTTGACGAGCCTCCAAAGTAGATTTTGGCTCTATGTTTTCCTCCATCTTTTCTTCCTTATCTTCCTTATTATGATTCATTTTATTCTCCAAGCTATCTGTCTCGTCCGAGTCGTTAGTGAGATTGAATCTTACTCTTTTGACAGTTTGATCATCTTCATCCTCCTCGTCAAGATCCATCTCTTCGTCCTCTAATTCTTCTTCTTCAAAATCCCTAATACTGTCGTCGAGATCTGAATTTTTGCTTTTGTCAGCTTGCTCGTTCTCGCTATCGGGACTATCGAAGAAATCCGCGTACTTTATGTATTTCTTTTCTTCAGGATTATCTCCATCTTCTTCCTCGGAAACATCGTTAAATAAATCCACCGATTCATCATCAGATCCAGCATCCTCTCCCTGCTTCTCTTTCCTCTCTTCCTTAATTAAATATTCATCCAGTTCTTGCAACTTAAAGAATTTGTCGTCTACGATGGAGGATTTCTTATGTTTTCTCTTCCGGGAATTACTTTTAATTTCCACATCCTCGTCTTCTGATTCTTTCTCATCGGACATGCCTTCATCCTCTTGATCTAAATTATCATTTCCAACGTGTATAAGTTCAGGTTTCCTTGAACTCACCGGGATTACCAGCTTTTTACTTTCAGATAAAACTGTAGAGATGTCACTTAAAAAGTGTGTTATCTCGCCCTCGTTCTGCAGTTCCAATTGCTGCCAAATTTGCTCCTCGTCAAAACCTTCTGTGACTAATTCTGGTAATGCATTCGTATTTCTATTCTTTTTGTAGGACTGCTCCTTGGCAAAATCGTAGACATTTTTTGTAAGGGCTGTTACATCGACTTTATTTTTCCCACTAAAATTGAAAAAAGATTTTGTTCTCAAAATAAACTTTTGCTTTTTTTATATTTGATGCATTCTTATTTTGTACTTGATGTGTAAATTTTAATACCATTAATTTAGCATTATATATTTCATTATCATTTCTCTTTTCTTTGCAGTGATATTTATTACAAACATTATCTTCTTCATTTCGGAACTTCTTAGATTAACGATTAAGTAACATCAAAATTTCAAAGTATTTTACTTGCCTTTTTATTTGTTCTAGCGATCGAATACCATCAAGCGTAGATATGATATTACCAAGAACTTCTATATTGGCCATTTTTTTCCATTATATTAATACAAACTTGATAAATATTTAATAAACGATGAAAAGCGATCAAATCCACGTGCTGTATAACCACAAACACGACGAACCACGAACCGTGGCGCGCGCCGTGGCGGGCATAGCCTCAACTATTGCCTGAACTATTTTATCGACAGATGTGCAATCGTATATAAATTTTGTAAAATATTTTTTAATCTTAATATTAATTTTGGAATGTATTCAATATTTTCTTTAAAAATTGTTAATCACGACAAATTTTACAAACAATATAACAAATGTCAAATGTAAGATGCCTAGAATCTGGATATAACGACAATCAGAGAGGAATAGAGGATCCTCTCTGGTGCCACATATGGACGTAGGAATATAAGGGGACATGGAGTCTCTCTACGAGAATCCGGCATGTCGCACCATCTATCGATTTGGATCAGACTAATTATTGCTCTAGATAGAGCGGCGATCGCAGGTGACGTGACGGCGCGGAATTTCGGAGTAAGTCGGAATTTGAGGGAAGGAAGCGAAGGGTACGGAGCAGTACGGAGCAGTACGGAGTAAGCGTGCCGAGAGAGTTAATTGGGTTTTGTCGCGGTGTGCGTACTTGCGTTTTCGGCGAGAGTGCTAAAAAGGAAAAGAGTTAGAAGACGAAAGAGTTAGGACGAGAGTTAGAAAGAACGGGCAATCTGAGACTCCTGCTCCTCGTCACAAACAAGGTCACTGAGACCGGTGTCTGTTTGTGAGAATTCGAAAACAATGACTTGCGTGACCTTCCGGAATGAGAGGCTATCTCCCGCCAACCTCCGATAACGGGCCTGCCGAAAATCTCTTTATTTGGTCTTGATGATCGATCCTTCTGCGAAAAATCCTCGATATATTTCAAGATTTCAACAGAATATACCTGTGACAATTTGCGTGACGTTTGCTGACATTCGAGATCATGTATTCTATACGCAAAAGTACCCATTCCGCAACGAGAGTCGAGCACGCGATCACATGCCATTTTTAACCGCACCAAGAAATGCCTCGTTGTTGCCGACGCGAATATTATACGGGTGTTCCGTTTGATTCCCGACGTCGACATGACAAGGAGGGAGAAATATACAGGTACACCTTTTATTTCACTTTTTCACACACTACTTAATCGAATGTACATACAAGCTGAAAAAACATGCGTATATATTATTCTCTCTGTGCAGAAACACGTCCCCCTAAAATGAAGCTGGAATGCTTGGCGCAGTACACCTTGCATGGGAACATCATGTCCATGCAGTCCGTTCATCTTATCGGCTCACAAAGGGATTCTTTGCTGCTCAGCTTCCGCGACGCAAAACTGTCCGTCGTCGAATACGATCAGGACATTTACAACCTGAGAACTGTGCCATTACTAGATAATAAGAGTGATCCTGAGGGAAGATGCACGGTAATGCTGATATTTGGCAGAAAACTGGTTGTGTTACCCTTTCGTAAGGATCCCAGCCTCGACGATGGTGACTTATTTGACACTGCAAAATTAACATCTTTCAATGAGACTCCGATATTATCCTCATATATGATAGTATGATTGAAAACACTGGAGGAGAAGATGGATAATGTGATAGACTTACAGTTTCTGCATGGATATTACGAACCTATGTTATTAATTTTGTACGAACCAGTGAGAACATTTTTAAGGTAAGGATTAGTTTCATATTTATGAAATACATAAGAAAAATTATACATTCAATAAAAAAAAAACATTAATTGTTGTGATCTGTGTATACAGGCGCATTGCGGTAAAACAGGATACTTGTGCAATGGTTGCTATATCTTTGAATATTCAGCAAAGGGCTCATCTAATCATTTGATCTGTCTCAAATTTGCCATTCGACTGCTACCAAGCTGTACTTGTGAAAAAGCCACTGGGTGGCACCCTATGGCAGTCAACTTGCTTATTTATATGAATCAAAGCATACCACTTTATAGAGTGTCACTTAACAGTTTAGCAGATACAAGTACAAATTTTCCATTAAGTAAGCGTAATTTCTATTGGTGTTATAATATTTACTATAATATTGCATTATAATATATAATATTACATTATATTTACTATAATATTACATTATAATACAATTTGTAATGTCCATGTATAATAATTATTAAATGTATTTGTTACTTGTCATTTTTGCAGAGCCGCAGGAAGGAGTGAAGATGAGTTTAGAAAGAGCCCAAAAAAAAAAGAACTCGAGAGAGAAAGGTGGAAATGGAATTTGAAGTGGACGAGAGAGAAGCTGAACTGGATGGTCCAGAATACGTTGAACCTGACAGCGACGATGATGACTACGATGAGGACGATGATGACGACCTCGAAGAACTTTCTGTGGTAAGTGGATGAAATAATTATTCACTGAAATACAAATTCTTAACAAAAATAATTTAATAAGATTTCTTCATAAATAAAATTAATAATTAAAAATGTTGCGTGGGATGAAGATAGTGACTCTGAATATTTAACTAACTTAACGCCCGTAGTAGTTAAAAAATGGCGCCATTTTTCTCGCCGTGTTTTCATCGTCTTGTACTCGCTTCCACTCATATACTTATCTTCTATTGATTGTATTATTAATCGTAGATGGACGGATCCAATCCAGTTAATAAACTCTCTTGGCAATTTCTAAAAAGTAAATATGAAAAATAAAAATAAAAAATTTGTAAATTTTAATATTAAATAGAATATTTATAACTTACCTTTAGAACGTCAACCTTTTGCTCTAATTTTCATTTGCTTTTGTTTTTCGAATCGTTTAATTAAACATAGTTATGGTCGGCATTTCTTTTTTTTTTTTTATTGTGGAAAGAAGATGTGAGTAATTTAAAAAGCGGTGTGTTAATCTGAGTTCTTGGTATATGCTTAAACATTTAGGTTTGATTTAATAACTTGTCAAAGTTACTAAAAATAATTTGATTTATTGGTCTGCTAATCGAAGTTCTTGGTATGTGCATAAACATTTTGGTTTGATTTAATAACTTGTTGAAGTTATTAAAAATAATTTGATTCATTGGTCTGTTAATCGGAGTTCTTGGTATATGCATAAACATTTTAGTTTGATTTAATAACTTATTAAAGTTACTAAAAATAATTTGATTCATTTTCTATATATATACAAGGTGTCCCAAAATTGGCGCATTCGGAGTACAGGACGTGATACTTTGTGCTAAAAGGAACAACTTTTTGTTTTAGCAAATTTTGATCTGACAAATAATTTTGGCAGGAGAGCTGATTAAAATTAACGAATAATCGCTTTTGTCCATGCGGCGCTCAGGGTCGGCGCGCGCTCCTCCATTCACTTGTTCCTAATCCTTGGCTAATATTTACAAGTAATGTCTTAAGATACTAATACGGCTCTGTTATAATTAGTTTACGACATTT